TTTCCTGAGGCAAAAGTTGTTTAGTTCATTTTTTCGCTAAGAAAAACAACGGATTTTTTTTTTTTTTTTTTTTTTTTTTGGTTGGAGTGTGGATGTGACCCTGAATTTTTCTATATAAGCAGCATAACATGTTTTTTTTCAGATTTTAGATTTTTTCGAAAACTTTTTTTTTGTGTTCCCCCCCCACCCCCCTCCTGGACCGGGACCCCCTAGTCACGACCGGAACCCTCCAGCCATGACCATCGATCGCGGTCAGGGGTCACTGGTCAGGGGTCAAGGCTTCAAGGGGATTCATAATTTCATAGTCTACAACACACATAATAAAACACAAAACAAAAAACCAGTGATATTGGGTATTATTGGCGTGTTGTCAACTTTTCATGCAATTGTGTCTTTGCCGTTATGGGCCTTTTCCTTATGCTTGTGCAGAGCTGCAGCTCTTTCTTTGTTGTTGTTGTTGCTGTTTCATGTCTCCTTGCTGCTCCCTTTTCACTGTCACTGTGACAGTGCTTATCACGTACAAAGGTACATGGCTTGCCAGGTTGATTGTGATTGAGGGCAAGCTGCCCCCACATCCCCGTGTGCCTTAACCGCCCACTTGCACTCACCAAAAAAGAGGCACAATCTGTGTGTGTGTGTGTGTGTGTGTGTGTGTGTGTGTGTGTGTGTGTGCCTCTCTCTCTCTCTCTCTCTCTCTCTCTCTCTCTCTCTCTCCCTCTCTCTCTCTCTCTCTCTCTCTCTCTCTCTCTCTCTCTCTGTGTGTGTGTGTGTGTGTGTGTGTGTGTGTGTGGGTGGTAACTAGATAGTAAACACAAATCATCAGCCTTACATCTCAAGAAATTGGTGTGTGTGCTCTCGTTTATTTGGTGCAAATTGGTGGTGGTGTGTTTTGCTCTCTAAGCCTCTTTTTCCAATTTGGGTTGGGGAGATGAAGGGGTGGACAAACCAAGGGAAGGTGTCTGGTGACTCTGGTTGCTCTTACGGGAGGAGGGTGGGAAGGAGGGAGCAAGGGAGGAGGAGGGGATGGAGGGAGCGGAGGAGGGGGGTGGGAGGTACGGAGCGGGGAAGGAGGGGAGGGGGGGGAGGCGGGTCCTCGTCCCTGACTGACTGGCTGGCTGACTGGCTGCTTGTTTGTGTTCCTCGCAGACACCATTGTTCCATGAGATGTATAAAGCTGTGCGATCCTCATCCTACTGGCCGCTGCTGAAGCAACCGCCGCCTGATGAGTACCCTGGCTACAGCGGCAACAAAGGGTTGGTGTCTCAGCAACTGACATCTTGCGGAGGGGATGCCCGCCTTTCGGGTTGTTCCAATGGGCCCAATGGGGCCATGAGCTTGTCGTCCGCTGGGGGGGGACCACTGAGCAAAGCAGGCGGAGTGGGGTCTGAGGGACTGACAGGTGGCATGGCAGCAGCGGGGCTTGTGCCCAGAGGGCCCCGATTTGATGGGAATGGTACTGGGGGGCTAGCAAATGGGACCCCTGGAGGGAGGCCTATGGATGGGCCCGCCTTCAACAGCCTCCTCTGCTCTCCCACCAGTCCTTCCGGGTCCGATGACAACGTTCCAGATATTGACAATATGCCTCACCGACATGGCACCCCACCCCTCCCCTACTCTGCCTACTCTTTCACTGGTCTACAAGCAGCAGGAGGAGGAGGAGGAGCAGGAGGAGGGGAGAACACCTCCCTCTCTCCCTCGTCCTATCTCTCCCCGAAGACTCTGCAAGCTGGCAACGGCTTCGCCTGCAGCAGACTTCATGGTGATGTCAACAGGAAAGCCAATGGAGCATCTACGGTGGGAGCAGGGGGAGGAGTCATGGGACTGGCCAATGGTACTAGTGCCGGCGGTAGTTACAACACGGCGGGTGCTGCGACCGGTAGTCTGCACCGCGAGATTCGAAGAGCATCGTCTGGGGCAGACTTGATGGGTAATGGATGTAGGAACGGGAAAGACGGAGCGGACTTGCGCCTGCCGTTGGCAGGGGTACGTGGGGGAGGGGGAGGGGGAGGAGGGGTCAGCGATACGCTGGAGTTGGGGATGAACTCTGAGCACAGCGAATCGAATGGGGTAAACAGTGAGTCAAGGGGGGATTCGGAATCAACTGGGAAGAGGGAGAGAGAGAGCGAGGCCACGTGCTGGTCCCCATGTCATCCACCGTTGTTCACCGGCCCTCGAGACATTCAAAGGACAATCAACAAGTACTGTCTGACCTACGAGGCTGCAGAAGAGACCGACATCAGGTATCTGTCTGTCCTATGAGGCCATGAGTCCATGACCACAGCTTCCACGAGTACAGTTGCGCTGTCAATCTCATGACTTGACTCAACCCTTGCCTCGCTCCCTACCCTCTCTTTCCTCTCTCACTTCCTTCCTCACACATCAAACCCTTAGTACACACCATCGTAATGAAAAAGGCCGGCTCTGTGTGTGTGTGTGTGTGTGTGTGTGTGTGTGTGTGAGAGAGAGAGAGAGAGAGAGAGAGAGAGAGAGAGAGACAGAG